TAGATATTTCAAAAACATTAATGTATGATTTTCATTATAACTATATGATTAAAAAGTTTAGTAAAATCAAATTATTGTATACAGATACGGATAGTTTAATATATCATATATTTACAAATGATTTTTACACTGATATAAAACCTGACCTTTCATCATACTTTGATACCTCAGATTATGATACAAATAATATTTTTGAATATCCAAAATTAAATAAAAAGAAATTAGGTTTTTTTAAAGATGAAAATAACGGTAAAATCATGAAAGAATTTGTGGGTTTACGATCCAAAATGTACGCTTTTAACTTAGAGAATAAGACTATAGCCAAGGCAAAAGGGGTAAATAAATGTATCACTAAAAAGATGACAATGAATAGTTATAAGTCTTCTCTATTTAATAAAAAAGTGCAATATTATAGCATGCTTAGATTTAAATCAATTAAACACACAATTTTCACACAAAAATTAAATAAGATAGGTTTATCATTGTCATTATATGAGACATATTTTAGATAATAATATTGAAACATTAGCTTGGGGTCATTATAAACTGCGTTAAGTGTTGATAGTTTTTACTTTTATGTCTGCGTTTAAGAAAAATTTATATTGATTGTAAAATGATGATAATACTATAATATGACGTAGTTTATTACATATTTAAACATTGTTTTATTGTAAATAATTTAAGTTAATTGTTGTTTCTATTTATTTGAGGTTGAGTTAATTGTAAAATTATGATGTACTAATTGTTGTTTCTATTTATTTGAGGTTGAGTTAATTGTAAAATTATGATGTACTAATTGTGTTAGAAATAGTATACAGATAATTCTGTTTTATATAATTTTTGGAATATATATTAATTGTTTACACCAACACTTTCATTTTTTATTTCACCCCTTTGAACTTTAGACGTGTGTTATGTTTCACTTTATCCATCCGTTCACTGCTATTGTGGCAGGACCAAGTGGGTGTGGGAAGTCAAATTTTGTAACAAATTTCATAAAATCAGTTACAGAAATATGTAATTGTGATTTTAATCAGATCACATGGTGCTTTGATGAAATGCAACCATTATATAATTTACCAAATGTTAACTATCATCAAGGAATTCCAAATCTTAATATGTTTGATGGTGAAAACCCACATCTTGTTATTATTGATGATCTAATGAGAGAGTCCGATGGAAGAATTGTGGATATATTTACAAAAGGTAGTCATCACAGGAATCTTAGTGTATTTTATCTAACACAAAATTTATTTCATCAGGGTAAAGGACAAAGAGACATATCTTTAAACTCAAGTTATATAATATATTTTAAAAACCCTCGAGATAAAACTCAAATAAGATATTTAGCAAGACAAGTATCACCAGATAACCCAAAATTCATTGAAAATGCCTACAGGGATGCAACTCTAGAGGCGCATGGATATTTAATGGTAGATTTAAAACAGAATACCAATGATTTTTGTCGTATCAAGACAAATGTCTTTCCATTTAATGGTTTCTGTACAGTCTACGTCCCCACAAAAGAGTTTAAATACACCAAGAATCAAACAATTGAAATCATTGCTAAATGATGCATCGTCGACTCACAACGTATAAACATTTGCTAACCGCTTTGCATACGCTTAAACCAAAATATCAAAGAGCATTACTTAAAACGTGTGATGAAGAAGAAATTAACTGTATTTGTGAGTGTATTCATAACGTTTTACAAGGAAAAGTACCTCTTAAAGATCAGGATAAACAAAAATTGAATAAACATAAAAACATACTCCGTAAACTAGTACGTAAGTGTAAACATAAACTAAGAAAAAATATAATTATACAAAAAGGAGGGGCTTTCTTACCAACAATATTAGGTGCAATATTGAGTGGATTAGTGAGTGGACTAGCCAGTTAACATGGAAAATGCAAAGAAAATGATACTTATCGAACCTGGATTGATTGAAAAATTAAAACAAGAAAATAAGGTTAATAGTAATTTATCTCGATTAGATATTGAAATGCAAAATATTATGAATAGTAAGACGGAAGACCGAAAGAAATGGATATTATATTTACAAACACTGCAAAGATACCTTCATTTTACCGAAGAGGATCGTCAACCACTCAAATTACCAATTTATTCTGATACATCTAATGAAGATTCAAATGAGTCAAAAATTGGTTTTAAAAATAAAGATAGAGATCTAAAAACTTCAGTTGATATTGAATCTTTGCTGGAGGAGAATCGATCCATTAAAAGTAAAGAAAATGATGAAAATCCACTTTACACACCAGCTCAAATACTCAGTTTAATACCAAAAACTTATCATAAAAAAGGGCAGTTATTATTAAACTTAGTTGAAACAAGTAAAAGTAAAATACATTGGGATAACGAAGGTACAGTCATAATTGATAGTGAAAAAATTCCTGGAAGTAATATTGTTGATTTAATAAATGATTCACTAAGACCCCTAAAAAGAAGTGATCCGGTAGGGTGGGTTAGATTTGCTGAAGCATTAAAAGATATTAAAGTACCACTTACTTATATTGGAAATCCAAGGAGATATGAGTTTATTAACCAACTTCAAGCAAAAGATCTGAACAAACCCTCTGAGATTGAAGTTCAAGAGTTTTCTACACCGTGCAGTAGAGATAAAAAGTCTACAACTAAAATACGTAAAGGACTTGAGTGGGAAAAATGGACTCCGTACTAGAAGAAATTAACAGGATTTATTATGATCCATCTAATCCCGCTGGTTTTGGTAGTATTGATAAATTATCAAAAGCCATGAAGGGTAAAATGAATAAAAAGCAAGTAAAGGAATGGTTAAAATCACAAGAAACATACACATTACATAAACCCATTCGAAAAAAAATTCCCGCGTAATAGGTACATTCTATCAAATATTAATGAACTGTGGCAAGCTGATTTAAGTGATATGCGAACTTATTCTCAATATAATGATGGTTTCAAGTATATACTTTGTATTATTGATGTATTTAGTAAATATGCTTTTGCAAGACCAATGAAAAAGAAAAACTCAGAAACAACTAAAGAATGTTTTGAAAGTATATTTACTGAAAGTAATTTAACACCTACTCACATACAATCCGATAAAGGTACAGAATTTGTTTCAAAAGATGTACAAAAATACTTTAAATCCAAAAAGATTAATTACTATACCACTAACAATCCTGACATTAAGGCCAGTATTGTTGAACGATTTCAAAGAACACTAAAAATGAAAATGTGGCGTTATTTCACTCATAATAATACTTATAGATATATAGATGTTTTACAAGATTTAATATACTCTTATAATCACAGCTTTCACTCTAGTATTAAGATGTGCCCATGTGATGTAAATTCCAACAATATTATGACAGTTTGGACTAATCTTTATGATAGACGGTCAAAAAAACTTTCTTTAGAAAATCCTAAACCAAATTTCAATGTGGGTGATTATGTTCGAATAACTAAATATAAACATGTATTCCAAAAAGGATATGAATCAAATTGGAGTGATGAAATATTTATTATATCTTCAATAATTGATAGATCTCCATGGGTTGTTTATACAATAACAGATTTACAAAATGAACCAATAATTGGTACTTTTTATGAAAGAGAATTACAGAAAATCACTTACAACCCCACCTCACAACATAAAATAGATAAAATAATTGACACTCGTTATTCAAGTAACAGAAAAGAAGTATTAGTGAAGTGGAAAGGTTATCCAGATAAATTTAACAGTTGGATTTTAGCTTCTAGTTTAAAAGAAATATGAATAAAGAAAGTTTCTATTTAACTTTGCTCAGCAATAGTTCAATGGAATACTTTCCTGATAACAAGACCACTAATTTTTCAACGAAATTACCAAAAGCTATAAAATTAGAAGGTGAATGGTCGGTTGGAGTTGTCGAGTTTCAATATCCATGTACCATGTTTACTGTTCAAGACCATGAAAATGTTATATACATTACAAAATCTATGTTAATGCCTAATGAAGATAAGCCATCCACAGTGTACTACAAAAAACATATTCCAGCTACCAACTATGATAACGTTGAGCATATTTTAAGAGTGTTAAATGGTATCGGAGAGAACTTGAAATTTCGCTATGATGAAATAACAAAATTTGTGTCTATTTCGGTATTGGATAAAAATATAACATCCGTAACATTATCACCCAAATTAAGTTTACAGCTAGGTTATGAACCAAATAAAAATCTCCTAGAGAGAAATTTTGGAAAGTGTCCTGCTAATTTACACTTAGGGTTACCATCTCAACTATTTCTATATTGCGACATTATCGATCCTCAGATTGTGGGTGATGTTATGACTCCTTTATTAAAAGTCATTTCATTAGATCCTACAAAATACATTTATGGTGCAAATAAAATGCACGTTTTCTCTCAACCTCACTACTTACCTGTTATGCGAAGAGAGTTCGATACGTTGGAAATAGTTATAAGATCGAGTACAGGACAAAAAATACCATTCCAGTTTGGAACCGTGTGTATTAAACTACATTTCCGAAAATTATAATAATGAATTCTCTTCGTGATCATCATAAATGTCCATATGAAAATTATTATACACATCAAGCTGGATCAGGAGTTGGAGTAATTTATAAGGGTTCACCATATCAACGCGGTCATGGTATTGGGAGCTTCTTAGGGGGGTTATTCAGATCAGTTTTACCTTTACTTTCAAGTGGTGCTCGAGTGATTGGTAAGGAGGCATTAAGCGCTGGAGTAGGACTTTTATCGGATATGGTTCAAGCCCGTCCTATGGAAGCCTCAATAAAAGATCGTCTAAAGCAAGTTAGTACGAATTTAAAACGAAAGGCTGATGAGAAAATTGATCAATTTAACATGACTGGATCTGGGTATAAAACTAAAAGAAAACGATTGACATCGTTCATTCCACCATTAACTGCTAAAGTGAAAGCTGCGAAAAAACTTAGTCTAAAACCAAAAAATATCAAAGATATATTTTCAAACTAAATATGTCTTTCCTTCATAATCATTCTTGCGAGTGCGTTAAGTCAGAATTGGATTTGTTTGCACTACCGTCTACACAAACTAGCATTGAAAATGGATTGTGGATTCATTATAAACCAATTTCATCTCTTGGTGATGATGGACCTATCGAGTTTCAAGTTCCTGGGACCGGCGATGACTACATAGATTTGTCTCATACATTACTCCACATAAAGGCAAAAGTATTAAATCAAGATTCAACTAACTTGGTATCTACTACAATAGTAGCACCTGTAAATAATTGGCTGCATTCACTTTTTAGTCAACTTGATGTTTATTTAATCCAAAAACTTGTATCACCACCTAATAATACCTATGCATATCGAGCATACATGGAAACCCTTTTAAACTATGCCCCTGCTGCTAAACAATCTCATCTTACTTGTAGTCTTTGGTATGAGGATACAGCAGGAAAAATGGATTCTACAGATGGTAAAAACATAGGATTTGTTAAAAGACAGGAATTGATTAGTGAAAGTAAGGAAATAGAAATGATTGGTCATCTTCACGGTGACATTTTTAACCAAGATAAATTTTTAATTAATGGTGTTGAAATGAGTGTTAAATTGGTTCGATCAAGAGAGAGTTTTAATTTAATTGTTGGGTCAAACGATGTAAAGTTTAAAGTTTGCATTACGGATGCAACTCTTATTGTTCGACGAGCACGAATTAATCCAAGTGTATTACTCGCACATCAAAAAGTTTTAGCTTCTACCACTGCTAAATATCCTATTACTCGAGCTGAAGTAAAAGTTTTAACAATTCCTTCGGGTGTTCAAGGAAAAACTCTTGATAATATATTTTTAGGACAGGTACCGAAAAGATGTATAATTGGATTTGTGAACAATTCTGCATTTAATGGTTCCCTTACTAAAAATCCATTTAACTTTGAAAACTATGGTATTAATTCTTTCAGCTTATATATTGATGGTCAACAAATACCTTCAAAAGCTTTGCAACCATCTTTTAATAATAGCATATTTACATCAGCATATCATACTCTATTCTCGGGAACTGGTATTCACTTTCTTAATGAAGGAAATGGAATCTCTTGTGAACAGTATGGCAAAGGTTACTGTCTATTAGCATTTGACTTAACTCCTGATTTATCAGCTAACTCATCAACTCATTGGAATCTCATAAAGCATGGTAGTGTAAGAATAGAAGTACGATTTGAATCCTCATTAATACAAACAATTAACTGTATAGTTTATGCTGAGTTTGATAATATTATTGAGATAGATAAAAACAGAAATGTTACTGTAGACTATAGTAGTTAAGGTTATAATATGTGTTGTGTGTTAGATTTTATGTGTTATGTGTAATGCATTTTGTGTGTATGTAACTATGTGAAACGTTATAAAATTAAATAAAACAAATTGTATGCAATATATTTTTTTTTATTTCTTTATAAATCTTCTATTTAATCTAATACAAAACACTGTTCGAGTTGAAATTTTACATAAGCACACTGACTAAACCACTGAACATGCTGCTGCCAAGGATCATCATCATCTTCCCAATCTTTTAAACCACCACCACAATGGAAACACTTGGTCCCGTCTGCATGGCCAGTATAAAAGAAACCAGCTTGTGCAAGATCTTCAGGTTTCTGTCGCATAACTAGAGGCCAGTTTTCGAAACTAAGCAAACGGCTAGATTTTGAACTGAAGAATGGATATTCAGCTCTTGAGTACTGCATACTCTTCTCGTTTTCTTCTCCACTCAGTGTTGTAGTTTTGTTATTCAATGATGTGTTTTGTACACGTATGCCACACTCATCTCTTCCTTCCGCTCTTGTCTTCCTGTAATTGAAGTAAACAGAATCACATTCACTAATGATCAGCTAATGACTGTCATTGTTAAAAAAGTATTTTTTAACTTTTTCACTTTCTGCTATTGTCTTTGTTATATTGTATACGAGGGCGTTTGTGTTGTCGTAGATGCTATCCTTATTAGTCTTTACGTAATATTTAATTCTAGTGGAAGCATGTTTCCAATGATCAGTAGTTGGAATCTTGGATAGCTTCTTCATATCGTACATTTCAATTTTGATGAGATGCGTCGCTTGGTCTCCGTCGTCAGAATTAGTAGAAATGTATGATACACCATCTCTAGCGGCTCGTGCTACGGTTGATGATAACAGCTTCTACAGATGATAAACCAGGGTCACATTGGGTAGCTTTATATATCGATACGAATGACGTCGGTCAATATTTTGATTCATATGGACGATCACCTGTACGATATCATCTAGAGTTTTTAAAAAGGAATTGTAAAAGATGGAACTGGAATGTTGATAGGATTCAGAATGAGTGGACTTCAGTTTGTGGCGAATATTGCTTAATGTATTTACTATATAAGTTTCAAGGATGTTCAATACATAGTTTTACGAGTATATTTACAAGGAACACATTGTACAACGATATTTTAGTGGATGAGATGTTTCGCTCCTATTTTATAGATAATAATTAATAAGATTTTGTATTTTATAAATAAAAATTGTAACAAAATTATGTAATGTGTTTTATTGATGATTCAGATTAGCGTTGTATAAACAAAGAATTATAATAAACAATAGCACTGATATAGTCGACGCACACGCTGCAATGAAGGTGATTAAGGAACAATAGAACAATAGAAATAGGAACAACAATGGGACGCTAATGACGGTGGAGGCCCTTACCGGATATCAATTAGATAGTAGCTAATTGATCTACACATCTCTGGAACCGTGCATTCTACACAAAAATGGACCGCGGATTCGTGATCAGAGCATGCCAATTTTTTTTTTAGGATCGGGCGTCGACGAACGTCGTTGAACCACGTCTGACTCAGGTGGTCTAGAAGTGGTACAACTACACTACTAATGTTAACAAGCAAAAATATTCCTTACAAATAACATTAATACGGGTCAATGCTAAAGTTACTAAATGAAATATTTCTTCATTTTATAATCTCTTTCTTTTAATAATATAAACATAAAATCAAAATAAAGCTATAAAACTAAAATTAAAAATCTAACAACCAAAAAAAACTATATCTTATTATAATAAACTGATCTGTATTCATAATAATAATAATAATTTAAAAAAATGTTTTTCTGTAAGCCCTGCGGTGTGCATGTTAAACATTATTCCGCTCATCAAAAGTCCTATATTCACAAGTCCAACTGCTTGCTGCAAACCGAGTTTGATAATGTAAATATAATAGCATGTGCTTTCAAGAACAGAATTGTCACTTACAGAATTAGTCCTAAAAAATTAACTATTTCACCTGAAATTTTCTTATCTTATATTTCACACACATCTCTTCAACTAATTAAACAAATGTTGAAGAAACATACAGCATTAAAAATCAATTTTGAATTGTTTGTTACATATACTTTATTCAAGAATAATGAATCATCTATTAAATCTTTTAATACTAAATATGAAATTATATACCAAAACACTGATCTATCGTCTGTTTACAATAGTTTTGCAGAAAAAATAACGAACAAGTGTTCAGAATTCGAGCTTTGCGAATCAGGTTGAACTATTGAGGCCATAAGACACTTATAATTAAATATTGTAAAATATAATCCGTTAAGATTTGGTTCGTATATACCATTACCTGAAAAAATACGTAATACAAAATCATGCTTAAATTTAAAAACCAATGGTAAACACTGCTTTCTTTGGAGTATTTTAGCTCATTTGTATCCAACTACAAGTAATCCTAACAGAGTGAATTCATACCCTCATTACTCAGAAGTTTTAAAAACAGATAATTTGTTATTTCCTGCAAGTTTTAATGATATTAAATTATTCGAGGAAATGAATCCTAATGTGAGCGTTAATATTTACGGTTTAGATGAAAAAAAAATGTGACCGGACCGTTGTATAAACTTTAAAAAGAAAGATAATGCATGTTAACTTACTTTACTTAAATAAAAATAATAAACATCATTTTTGTAAAGGTTTGATAAACTCGTACACAAGCAATTAACTAAACATAAATCTAAAATACATTTATGTGAAGAATGTTTTTTATATTTTAACACTGCAGAAAAACTTTTAAATTATGATTGTGCGAGGATCCAAACCATTTTACCGGAAGAAAATACTAAACTTTATTTTTCAAACTATGAAAAGACTCAAAGAATTCCTATTGTAATATATGGCGACTTTGAGAGTTTATTACATGAGTATTCAGACAAAAATAAAACTACGTATGTGGAAAATATTCAAACCCATGAGGCCAGTTGTTTATGCATATTATATATTTTGTGATTCTAAGCCCGAACTCAATAAATTAGTTTCCTATCACGGGTCAGAGTGTGCTAAAAAATTTATTGAATCAATTAGTAAAGATGTTAAACGGTTACATAAATTACTTTCAAATAATACGACTCTGGTAATCGGTGAAACGGGGCGAGACTATTTGGATAATGTAAAGGAATGTCATTTGTGTAAAAAAATATTTAGTAATACAGATATCATAGTTGCAGATCATGATCACTTTACTGGAAAATATAGAGGACCTGCTCATAACGAATGTAATTTAAAAGCTAAGACATGCTCATTCATACCTATAATATTTCACAACCTTTCTGGTTATGATTGTCATTAATTTATAAAGGAACTTTCCGCCCTTTACGGTCGTATAAATCTAATACCCCGAAATATTACATTTTAATTAATTTAATTCGAGACTAAAATAAATGTGAAAGGGCTTTTATCTACAATAATAATTTTCATCAAAATAACATAGACTTATAAAAGTCATACACACGGCCAATCATACTGAAGCTTATCAATTGTACTACAAAATATTTAAAAGACTATTTCCAGTATAATGACCCGAATATCATCATTAATGTTTGACTGGCACACTTAAAAGTTTTATCAGATGGCTAAATGATTGACTATTATATTATGATAAGGTCATGCTTTTTTATAAAAAGCTGCAAGAAATTTTAAATCACGGACCTATTGGTTTGTTTTACTATTCACTTAATTAGTGAAAAACAAGATGGACTGATCTAAAAGTTTACTTTCTTGTGTAAAAAATGCTATTAAGAATTTTATGCAAATGATAATTAAAGTTCCTATGTAAATAAGTGTAACATAGTGGGTATTGTATTCAATGGTAGCGGCCATCCATATTTGCAAAGCCAGCATCATTTTCTGTACAGAAACCGGCAAAGTGTTGCTCAAGGCACTATAAACAAAGCAGCTGATAAAAATGTTACATTGATAACTGTTAAAAAAAACTGTTTCTGCAAATGGATAATAACTATTCCACCGTGTCAGGTGCAGTAGCTATTATTAGAAGGAGAAGAGGTAAAATTTTGTTTTATCAATATTGTTTTGTCTGCAATTGAGCATAAAATAAAAAATAACTTCAACCAAAGAGCATAACTGGCATTATACTCAGGCCCATCAATTGGTATGGAAAAAAATAATTTTACCAGGTTTCAAAAAATCAATCGAAATTCAAAAATATATAAATATTAAAATCAAAAAATGTATATCTGTATGTGTACATATAATGATTTATGGCCGCTTAGTAAATGACGGTGACTCAGTATAACATCCTACAGTCACGCCGAAACTAAGAGGAGAGAATCACTGTAGAAAAATGTATGTATGTATATGTCAAATTCTTTCACGTTTACTTCCATTACCCTCCGGAACAAATTGTCTGTTGACCTGTGAACAATACCTGCCAAATTTTTTTTTAAAGAAAACTATATATCCGTAGCATATCTGTAGCCTACAAAGTTGAGTCAACTTACTTTATAAATGTGTGTATTTATTTATATATGTATATGAATTATATATATTTTATGTATGTGTTGCATGTATATATTTGAACTGAATTATATCATAACAACTTAACTGCCCAAACTCACTCTCTGTTCTACCCAAGGTTAGCTGGTAGATAATGCCATATAGCATTAAGCTCGCCTTTTGTACAAATAATCGGTGCATCATCATCATCATCATTATTACAGCCCTTCACAAGTCCACTGCTGAACATAGGCCTCCCCCAAAGAATGCCACAAAGCATTCTTTATTTTTTTTTTTTTATTATTTGTACAAATAATCGGTGCAATAAAGAATAAATAAATAAATAAAAGGTAATACTTTATTGCGGAAATTTTGTGATAAAATTAAAAAAATTACACACTTATCCAAGATACCCTATGCGTTACAAAAAAAAAACAAATAATAAAATAATGAGATGGCGTCAGTTTTTAAGAAGATATAACAAAAAGAAACAAAAAAATAAA